GGAAAACAATGTTCACCCATAACACATATCTTCCACACTGATACAATTTTACAACTTTTACATTATGAAAACTCTAGAGTCTTGGAGCCAAAGAAGACATACACTTTCTCTGTGAGATAGACCAGTATTTTATATGTGAAATATATAACCAGGTCTGTCCAGGAACAAAAACAAAAAAGAGAGAGATCAGATTTGGATCAAAGCTATCACAGAGTAAATCCAGGTAATTCCACTGAAATTAAATGGAGTTGCTTTGGGCTTAGGTGACTGTAATTGAAATTAAAAATCTGACTAATAAGTATTGGAAAAGAAAGGCATAAAGTAAGGCACCACTAAACTGAACATAAGAAGATTCTACTGGAAATCTGCTCCATGGAAACCAGGGCAGAGATGAATGATACTTGCTTGTGTGAGCCTCAAACTGCTGTAAAACTGGGATGCAGGCAGGATGCACACCCAAACCTAGGAGATGTGAAATGTCCCCAACAGCACAGATTAGACATAGATTCCTTTAGACATTTGTGGGAAAATACTGCCAAAACAGACATTCAATTAAACATTTTTAAGCATCTGGATATCAGTTTTAGAAGTTGCTGTTGTCCAGATACAAAAACTGTTGTTGACAAAGAATTTAATTTAAAGGCTAATTTAAAATATAGATGGAGTAAGAGCTAATTTTTGTTTCGTTTTTTAAAGAACTGACATAAGTTAATCTGTCTAGTAAACAGCAGTGATGAGACCCATAGAATTACGTTTTCCCATGGCTAACCCAGTAAAGAAACGTGAAGTTCACAGTTCTGGTTTTTCTGAAATTCTAGGATGATTTGAACATGTAAGTAGTGAAGGCCTTCATAGTATTCAGTCTCTCATACCCTCTTTTCTCAATGTGATAATTCCTTAGACTATTAACGATAGATCATCTGAAAAGGAAATACAGGCTATGTAATCAACTCAAGAAGAAGCATTGAAAGGGACATTTTGAAAGAAGAGCATAACTGCTCTTTCTGTTCTGTAGTTTTGCAATGTATCTGTAAGTGAGTAACACTGTATTTATGAATAATTAATGTTAACCTGGATTTATTGTGCCTTGTGTGCAAAACCTAATACAGTCTCTGCTGATGAATACAGTTTGATATTAAAAACTACAAAATCCCAGAAATGTACTTTAGTAGAATATCCACATCTCAAGGATGACTGTGGCTATTAGAGAAAACGCTGACTTTTACTTTCAGGAAACTCAATTTATGTTTTTTAAAACTAGCAGAGTACAGTACTTACATTCTTAATGACAGATTATAAATATATTTTATTAATGATGCTAAAATAATGAAAATATATGTATTTATGAAAATACTGGTAATGTATTATTCTCTAAACTGCATTGTAATTATTATTTTTTTCATTTTTTCTTACCTTTACATACAAGATTCTGCCCATGGCTGTTTTGTTGTTCTTGAAGGCTACCATATGTGATGAGTAGTACTCACACTGAAGCTGCCTTACAGCAGCAGTCTAAACCTTGAGATGTATAGACTTGAACTGCTCAAAGACAGAAGCAAATGACAAATAAAACTGAGAATCCTGAAGACCAGGGTGGTTGGTGGGGGCAGGTTAAATACCATAAATGGATATCTATCTAGCATATGCAGAGTTTGTATGTTCTAAATGGAAAAAAAAAATCAGAAGTATAATGCTCTAATTATAATTTGTGAGGTGTTGACTCCCTTTAAAATCTGTATCCAAAACCTACTGAAAAGACATATAAGTTTTAACTGGCAATATTAATAAATGGAAATAAAACTACGGCTATTGTCTCTGTACTTAACTAAGCTTTTCTCGTCTCATTCATGCCAGATGCACTATAAGAGGCCCAACTTCCCCACTCATATAAAGTCAGTGCCCTGATTTTCACCACCAAGGTCTTTTTTTCCAACATGTCCTTCCAATTACTTTGCAAATGGGAGTTTGCAAATTTTCCTGCTGGAAGTTTCCTCCTCAGCAAAAGGAGTCTGAAAAATACCTGGCCATACCCAACACCAGTGCCAATCCTTCTGCCAAATTCCGCAGTGCTGCAACTGGATCTGCAGCTGGAGCCACCTGCCCAGCTTCAGCTTTGGTTTGTAGCTCTGGTGCCATCACATAGGGCAGGGAAGGGGCCCATGGCATCAGTCCTGGCTGGCTGCTTTGCTCCCTGCCTCTGTGCAATCCCACGGAAACTGGTCAAGCATGCCTTGGAAAAATTTGATGGCAGCAGCGCCACAAACTATTTTAATGTTAGTCCAGCTGGGTCTGAGATGATAACTTGTATACCAGTTTAATGTGCTGTCTGCACTAATGGCATAACAAGCCTGATGAATAACAAAAACTTGTCAATACCTGCAGGAAAGGTTCCTCACGGGAAATGAAATGTTCACCCACACAGAAGCATCTCTTACCATAGATGGAACTGCAGCTTAGAGTGCTAATTTGTATCTAGATTGGTGTGCTAATTTGAGCTTGGGTTGGTGTGATTCAGATGGAGACTCTACCACCATTCAGTTCATGGGATACTTCCACACGGACCACCATCTTTTGCCCTGTAAAAAAAGTCATTCATACTGTTCTTGTCAGAGCTGTTCACCCAAAAAGGCCTCTGCAGCAGCTGTTGTTTCCAGGTGTTAGACAGCATTCCCTTCTGACACTGCCATGGTGGCCATTGTGGCCCCGCAGCCGGTGCCACAGGGGTAGAGATGAAATAGGTGGCCGTGAAGGTCAAGTGCTTGTGTGCCTAAGGGTCAGGTACCCATCACTGGCTGCGAAATCACCACCAGGGTTAGGGCTTTGCGCTTGGGCCATCATTCACGGAGCCGCGCCTCCTGTGGAGCCTGTCCTGCACACAGGGCTATTGCCAAGGTCGGGGCCCGGGACACCACTGGCCTGGCTGCCTGTGAGCTGAGTAAAAGACATCCAGAGCGCTTTCTGACCTCCAGGAGAGGAACAAACAGTAGGCAGCTGGGGAATGCTGACGGGGAGTGGCCGCCCTGCCGTTTTGGGCAGCCAAAGTCGAGTTTGACATAGGAAGAGCCACAGCAATCCTACTCCTTCAGTTGCCGAACTGAAGGTAAAGGCCTCCTCTGCCTCGCAGGAATTGCACATCTCCACGTTTCCATTTCCTTCTGCTACTGAAAATGGCCTGAACAGGCAATAACCGTGACAGATCCTGTTACATTCTCCAGCCTCTCCCTTTTCGGCTGCTCTGACTTTAGCTGCGGAACCAAGCCCTGATCAGAAAGGTTTTTCCGAAGTGTGTGAGCAGGACTGGCAAGGCGCGGGAGCGGTGACACCAGGGGAGCGCCCGGGGCCGCAGGCGGCGTTTCGGCGGGAGACCCGGGAGGGAGCCGGGAAGGACGGGGAAACACGGGACGGACCCGGAGGATCCGCGGGACGAACCCTGCACGCGAGGGATCCGCGAGGGATCCGCCAGGGATCCGCCAGGGATCCGCCAGGGATCCGGAAAGGATCCGGAAAGGATCCGGAAAGGAACACGCGGAGAGGACGCGCGACGGACCCGCCCGTGCCCACAAGGCAGGCGCGCGCCACTCCACGCGCTGCGCTCGGCCACGCCTCCCGAGGCACGGACCCCGCGCCCATTGGACGGTACGCGCCTTCGGGGCAGCCAATAGG